CATATTTTTCACTTTTGTTAACCGAATGCACTTCTAGTTTCCCTTTTATCTTGAATGGGAAATGAATACACAGGTTTATTCCAAACCCAGTTTCAAATGTTGCCTCAAAACTTTAAATTGTGGTTCCAAAATACGTTAACCTTTTGAATGTACAATTGGTGTGGTTTTCCTTTAATGGGAAATCATCTCCCGTCGTTCATACTGGTTCTTTTCATTATATAAGCTACAAGTATCATTTGAATCAGTAATGTTTAACTTCCAGAATAAGTGACATGCCATTTAAACTTCAACACCAACCACTTACTGTATGAACACTGAGCTCAGACAGCCAACAGAGCTCATGTCAAATGGTTTATTCCTTTGGGGAGAACACGTTGCCATATTAAAAGCAGTTTGAGGCTAAAACAAAGCTTAAAGTAAACAGGTATGTAAGAGCACAATATTTATTCCATTATTCTTGTTTATATTTATTGACTGTTGTATTGCTCTTTCTCAACCTTATTTACTTGTCTTGCCAAGTCAATAAAGAACTGATTAATATTTATGGCGATGGGATGGAGAAAAATAAAGGGCTGTTTGAGTGTCAGGATTTCTCACAGGGAACCTCTCTGTTCATTCTAAAGAGCAGCTGTTTAATGTGCATATGTCACACGCAGCATTATCTTCGCATTATGTTAGCATTTCTGTGTCACCACGGCTTTACACAGCGTTATGTTAAGAGTCTATGGCAGGGAGGTAAAGCTAACATGGTAAGCATTAGTCACCCTCCACTGAGGCACATGATCAAAGAGATTTTCCGAATGTTAAACGGATGAAACACAGAACGATGACTCGGGTTGAGTCTTTAGAAGTCAGGCAGGCTTCGGGAGCGTGACAGTGGGCGGGCGTGGGCGCTCTTCTTCAGAATGTGCCAGTCTGTTGACATATGTAATGCCAGGTCTAAGGCCCTGTATCATATCCACAAAGAGGTATGACATGGCGAGAAAAAACGATTTCTAGCCTAACGCTCAGACATCATTGGACTACATTTTATAGAAACAGATTGTTGTGGTTTACAGGAGCTATGTTGTCCTCTTGTGCAAACATACAATTAGCGAGTGTTTCAAAGCTCCACAACACAAGGAACGGATATTATTTTACTGATTTACCACGTCTATCCAAAGGTTGTTGTGATGCAAGAAGATATTGCTTATTACCCAACGCTCTCAATACAAAATAAGACTTAAAAATAACTGATTATGGCCAAGCATTACATTGTATTACAATTTATTTTGTCTATAAGTGGAATTCTGAAGATAGAACTCGTAGAATTATTATCAGAATTGGGAATCTTATGTTGCATATAAACCTTCTTTTTGAATTTAGTTTTGTGTGCTTCTTGTTAATTGAAATACTTACGTCTAACTTCAAGGTTTACAAGTTCCATGTTTTCTCTTTGTGCGTTTAAACATTCAATTAGGGAATGTTTCATAAGCTTAGCAACACTAGGAAAGGGAATCATTTGTATTTCATTTTTACAATTTATTCAGAAGTTCAGTGTTGCAAGAAGATGTTTACAGCAAACAAGTTTCCTCATTTGTCTTCTTGCAACTTTAAAAATATATAAATGGAAAGACAAATGTGGGAAAATTGCATATGAACTGCTGTTCCATTAAAGTAAGTAAAGCATTACATATTTAGTGAATGACTGTAAATTCAGCTTGTAAAACATACTTAAAACAGCTGAAGTTAAATCTTCTAAACCACAACGGTCTCTTTCCTGTCCACGCTAGTCTTTAGACCCCGTTGAGGTCACACAGTGTCCAAGTAACATGCTGACAGACAGAGAGAAAGAGAGTAAAAGAAAATGAATGGTGTCTGTCGGTGCGTCCCGGCGGAGCCATCATTAATTAAGCGTGAGATTGGTTCTCTCCACTTCCCACCCCTGTCTCTCATTCGGTTGATCCTGGGATGTCAGGGGATTCGTCACTTCTCACCTCGGAAAAAGAAACAGCTAGTGCTGGTGAAGTGGACCAATAATAGATGTGAAGATATCAAAACACACCAGTGGCTAACCGTGTCTATCACAACTGGACCTTCTGTAAACACCCCCCCCCGGCGTTATAATGTCCGTCTTTTCACTGAATTGCCGTCTTGAAAAGGGTACTCACAACAATTCCGCAAGAACTTCATCTTCACCTGTTGCACTTGCCATTTCAACGTTAAAAACAATAGAACGGCATGAATTGCTTCGTCGCATCTAGATCCTCTGTCTCGAGCCAGTTAACTACCGGGCCTTCTAGTACCCTGGAACCGAGGGAAACTCTGAAAGAATACGCCCATTGGCTACAAATCAATATCTGATTGGTTGATCAAACTGTCAGTCCAAATGTACGCTCTCATTCAGTGCAACGGCCAGGGCATTCTATCAAGGATGTAGAATACCTTGGTTGGCGGATATTCTACCAGAGACCCAGAACAAGATCTGATTGGTTGCTTTCTTTTCTAACACAAAACCACTGAAATGCGTAGACCATGGTCCGAGAAGGACAAATAAATCAACGTAACACTGTAATACTACATTTTTTTAACATTTTATTTATCTAATTAAATCGATTTTTTGTTTGTTTTATCTGAGTGTTCCAGGGTATTCTCTGAATACCTTGAAGGCCCTGACGGTTCGCCACTGAAACACACACATTTAAAGTCTACACACACCCTCAACTAAAACAGCTGCACACACACTGGACTCCGGCTCGGTGTCAGATTCCTATTGCTCTCTTCCAGCACTGCGGTACATCACTAATGATAGCTCCACTCCCTGTACGGCCCTATACTACCCTGAGGGGTGGAGACATCTGCCAAACTGGTACAGGTCCTCTCTTTACCTCTCACACCACCGTGTTTGACAGCCGACTTGGGAACAGTAAAATTAAAGGCCTTGGCAAATGAAATTCCGCGACACAGCGGTGTGAATCAAAGTGCTATGGAAGGTTGTAGAAGAAGAAGGAACGGAGCACGCTCTCGGAAGTAAAGGGAAAAGTTAGGGAGGGCAAAAAAAAAAGTAGTTACCAAAGATAATTTGGCATCAAACAGCTGCATCTTGGGTATTGACAAAAGTGGTATAGCTTCATCATTTCACCTTGAAAAGGAGAATGCTGTGTATAAAAGATCTTTCACATAACGCAGGCAACTTATTGACTTCCTTTGATATTAATAGCCTATGACACGAAATGCCATTTTCCCAGCGATGCCACGTTATTCTTTGATCCGATGTGACCTTGTTGATGGTGCCGGAGACAGATGCTGGTGTAATGTATCTCAGTTCAGTCATCATCATCGCGCATTACTCATGCTACGCGTAGACGGAAAAGAATATGGATTGCTCTGCTCTTGCACCGGAACTTCGAAACCGCACTTATGAGAGCTTGACACTGGGCCTTTCTTGGTATTTAGTGGCTTTGTCTCTGACTCCCACACAGTTGCACTCTGATAGAGACATACAAGTGTCAAGGGCCATCACTGCACGCCGGGCAATCTGTTGTTGAGGTGAAGAGGCTGATAACAGCGGCCCCTGTCTGTCGTCCACCAACAACCCTGTCTCACCCCCCCTGAGGGAGAGTTATTGCTTTAATATGAACAACGAATGGTTCAATTTGTCCTCTGGGTGTCAAAGGACTGCTCGGCGTGATTACTTTCTTGGCACGGCGGTGACATTCATTGGCTTCGAGTCAGGAGGTATTGGAGAAAGGCCTCTGTTAGGCCGGAGTGGGTGAATGACAGATACAGATGGACGGAGAAAAGAAGACAGAGAGAGAGGCAAGGCCGGCTTTGCCCACCTCGACGAGCAGCAGCATGCAATCCTCTTAGATTGAGAAATACAGTATTCTGACCTTGGCTGATCAAAAAGGGGGAAAAAAAGCAGCGCCGCTCCAATCCACCCACTCACAGAAAAGTCACAAAAACACATCAAATAGAGGAGAGGGCTTTTGAATTTTTGGCATGTCACTTTATCACATTTTCAAAGCTGATAATTAGGGGACAAAATATTCAGCTCACACACTCAAGTTTCTCAAGGAGCAATGCAATTGAACGCAACTTTACCAACACTTTGGGCAGTAACCAATGGGTTTATGGAAGGAGTTTGACATTTTTGGAAGAGCAATAATTTCCTTTCCTGTCCAGAATAAGATACAACAGTTGATACAGTGTACAGTTAACATGAAGCTGGAGCCAGCAGCCGGTTAGTTTAGCTTAGCATAAAGACAGCTATCTTATCAGTTATCTTCAGACAGTCAGTCTAGCTGTTTTCCCCATTTCCAGTCTTTGCGCTAATCTAAGATAACCAGCTGTTGGCTCTTGGATTCATATTCATCAGACATATATACGAGGGGTATCAATTTCCTCATCCAACTCTGGATAAGGAAGTTAATGAGCGTATCCCCCAAAATATCGATCTATTCCTTTAAGATAAGTTCAGGATATTATTTGCATTGTTGACTCAAATCGTTCTACAAACTGGGCCTGAAAAGGCACTCACTATATGGATTACATAAAAAAAGCATTACTGTAGCTCAGTAAGAATCATTTGACGATATTTACAAAATGAGATATGAGTTTAATAATATCAATTATTTCGAACATATTCAATATTGTATAAATATAGAAGCAACTTTTAAATAATTTCCAACTTCATTTGTGGTTTCCCTCTACCTCAATATACTCGTTTTTGGAGTGTTCTTTTGCAAATTAATAATACAAAAAATAAAATAATAATATGATAATATCTTTATCGTGCATTCTGTTTTGGCTACAATACTCCTTCAGTAAAAATCGGATTTTGAGAATTTTATAATTATCCCTCCAAATTCTCTTTAGATATTGTGATTATATCCTTGTCGTGAAATCTTTAGCCACAATTGGCCATCCTGATTGGAACACACACAGAACCATCTTTGAATTGGAACTAACGTCACTCACCACACACATACATACTGAAGCACACATGTTGCCTGCCTTACCTGAATGGTGGGTGGTGAACGCTGTTTGCGCGTGGTCGTAGTGGAGAGCGTGGTGGTGGTCTCAATAAAGGTGGTGGACATCTCAGGCGGCACCGAGGTGGTGGTGCGTGCGGCGCCCCGGGTCACCGGCACATCGCCCACCAGCCGCACACTGCCGTTCACTTTGACGTTGCCGTGGCCCTCGGCGGCCATGTTGAGGACTTTGAGGCCGTTGTAATAGAGGCCGGAGAGCTGGCCCTGATAGGGTCGCTTCCGGTCGTTTCCGCCGATGGAGATCGTGGCCTGGGTGTTGAAGATTGTCAGCTGCCGGCCTGGCGCGGAGGGAGGAACGATAGTATTTATACGCTTGGGATCTAAAAGCGGAGGAACTACTTTTTTATTACGGGTAAAAAGCATTAACGGAAAAAGACTATGTCTGTTACCATTATGGATTTACCGCTTGATTAAACGAGTGAGGATGGAGGTAAAATGGTTAAAAGTGATGAAACATGCTGAAAAAACTCAAGTATCAGTTCTCAACAACCCCACCTGTTCTGTTCACTCTAAAAGCCTGCAGCTATATGCACTGTTATCTACAATAGGAAGGCTTTTTCTCTTGGACAACACAAGAAAAAGCCCCCTGAAAGAGCTAATGCTGGAAACAACACAAACCATTCAGCTATAGCAGCTTTATCGTAACACATGCAGGTATTGACATTCTTTTTTGGAAAAATGAGCTAGAACAAGTTCCACAGGCACGCTTAATATTCTCTGGACAAAACAGTGGACTCATGCGGTAGGATGATTAATAAATATGGATACAGGGTTTGGCATATTATGATAAAGTATGAGCAATACACACTCACTACATGTCATGTGGAATTTCATTAGGAGACGTCTAAATATCCTTGTCAAAACACAGTGCTCATGCATTAATTATGAAATGAAAATTTACCAAACTTTTGCAATACTAGAATCATAATTGAAAATCTCATTTGTGTAATTTACATACAGAAAGCACTGCATGCCTGTCTTATTTGCACAATTACAATACACAAGGAATGACAGGGAGAGTACGTACATGTCACAGAAGCGAAAAATGAAATAGCACGTGTGGAGTCATGCAGGCAGCAGTAATGGGGTTTTCACACCTGAGTTTTAGCAGTTGTTAAAGGGACTTTATAATCAGGTTAAGATCTTTATGTGCAATGGACTTTAAAAAGCAGTTTATGATGTTATTATGTTGAGTAAGAGAGGCAGGAGTAGATTTCTTTTAATCCTCGTAAATGTTTTAAACATAAACAAGGTTGATTTCAGTGATTGAAAATTCTATCAGGGCACGTTGGCAGGCTTTGCTGTCAAAAAGGCTCCAATTAGCTCTCCATCACCAAAAAGGGGAGATTTGATCGTGTGCGACTAAAATCAGATACATTACAGCAGGGAGAAACACCTGCTGTTTGGAAGGTCTTCAGGGGGGTATGCCCACTGATTAGTTTGTTCTCAAACATTGCAGAGGATTTGAGCCAAGCCTATTGTTGCATGCTGTCCCTTTAGACAATTTTGCACACAGTACTTATCTTTGCATGGTTTTAAAGGCTCTCCCCAGTCCCTTTAACTGGACACCATGATTCAACACAATTTTAAAGGATGACAATGACAAAAAGGGGGAAGAAATAAAAAATAAAAACCAAAGGAGAGAACTCTTTTTTTTTACTTGATTTTTAAAAAGGGTTTAAGGGGTGGTTTTTCATTCTCAGAGGTTGAAAGGGAACAAGCCGATGAAATGACAGAAAAATAAAAAGAGAAACATTCTAGAAGGTCGATAGAGATTTACCTTTCTCCTGAAGCCAATCTTCTACTGGCCGGGTATATTTGAACGGGATTTTCTTATTTGCCATTTGATAGCGCTCAATGTCGCTGTTGCCTTTAAAGTTTGAGAGTTTAACAAACAGCTTGAAACAGTCGGCAACAGCAACAGACATCAAACATTTATACAGTGGTTTATAACGATGTTTATCTTTGTTTAGAAGAATTTATAAAAGCTTTATGATGAGTTTTTTTAGTTTACGTTTTAAATGTATATTTATACAGCACACTCCACACCAATATTTAACAAAGTATCCATAGACTAAAAGCACATTTTCATAGCACTCATAGAAAAGACACACTTTTTAAACAACCTGCAAGAAAAGGTGAAAACACAGGAAATACAACCAGTCTACATAATACAATCATAATATTGCATACTAAAGACAATAGGCATCACATTAAAAAGCTAGAACATGCATTAACTGCCTTTCTGTGTAGCAAATTGGAGATAATTAATATGCACTTGTTCTCTCACTGGACACCACCTGCTTTAATATTTCAAGGGCCAAGAAATGATTGGGTTGGAAGCGTATTTGAAAGGAAAGAGCTGTGTAGCAGGTTTGTAAGGGGGCAACGATGGAGGAGGAAGTGGTAATATGAAGTACTGCAGACCTATGGGGAGAGAAGTCCCACAGCGACAAAGACTCGAGGAGGACAATGCATACAAATGATATCATTACCGACATGGTGGGAGGTCTTTTTGAGAAAAAACAGCTGAACCCCAGCTGCGGCTGATAGGCCACCTTTTACATTGAATGCTAAGTGTGTGCTTAGTATTTTTCCTGGCATGTTCCATTGTGTATTTTCCAGGTTGAAATATTTTGCCACCGAGCCTTCCCTAAAAGACACCGACAATACGATTGGGACATTCAACATTGAATATTTTGGGGTACGACAAAAGACTGTGAAGCCTTTAAAGAATAATGACACCATGATGTCACTCAGTAACCAGATGGGAATTTGGAGGAAAAAGGGGCATGAGTATTCCATGATTTATAACACAAATGAAAGGGCAAGGCTTTACAATTGTGAGAAAAGGCTTTCTGGAAATGCTGCTTGGAGTCTCTCAGGTGATTTATCTACTGACTACATTATACACACACATACTCAAGGCAACATGAGTGCATCCCTATTTTCACTCTTGGGCAGAAGCCTCTACTATAATGGCTTGGCTGAGGCTCAGGAGGTACAGTGGGTTGTCCAATGATCGGTGGTTTCGATCTCTGGTTTATCCAGTCCTTGGGTAAGATGCTGAACCCCAAATTGCTCCCAAAGGCACAGCTATTGGTGGAGAGTATGTGTGAATGAGCGTTGGACTAGATGATGAGCATTTTGGCAGCTTGTGAAGCCGCTCTGCCATTGATGTATGACTGTGTGTGAACTATTAAATGTTGGCATGAGGTGTCAGAACCCCTCAGAATTCGGAAGACTCAAAAGGCGCTGTAAAAACAAAAGTTCTTCCACATTCAAGTCAATATTAAAGCACCCTTTGCGTTGTTAATGTTAGGGTAGACAACAGATCTATCTTATTAGGTTTTAAAAAAACATGGTTTGGGCTAAACCACGGGACACAAAGGCCGATCCCTTGTGTTTGTTAGACCAATCAAACACAACTCCCTTCAACCCTCAGAGGACTTTTGATCTTTTTTTGTTTGCCCGTTACATTGGAATAGCCAAAAGCCCAGTGCGTCTCATACACACTTAAGGGGGTGTCTGTCTTTGACGCCCTTGGAGTGAGACCAGGCTGCCAATTTCGAGCCACCTGACCTAGTGTGTTTTCTGGGTAAGATATAATGCCTGTCTTTGTTCTACACAGTCTTCTTTTTGTTCTTTCGTGGTTCAGTTATTACCTGCATATCTGAATACCAACTGTTCCCACCTGCTGAATACAATTGCATATACGGAGGGAGCACACCACAGTTACATTAAACTGTTAATTAAGCCACTCATGCTGCAAAGTAGTTAGGTACCCCATATGCTCGTATCAGTTTCCTCTCCTCACTCCTCTATTCTATCGGTCCTTTCTACCTGTCGGAGAAGAAAAATAAAAAACTGGCGAAGTTCTCAGCTTAAAGCCAGCTGGGCGGGATGTGTGTGGATATGGCTGTGAGGGATCTCCAGGAGCTAAAGGACCGTATCTGCAGCGTGCCAGCAGGTTAATCAGCTACTCACAGGGCTCCAGCCCTATTCCTTTGATCTCAGAGAGGTTTCGGGTGGCAGCCAAATACACTCTCCATTGGACGAGGACCACATAGGGAGGTACGATGGCTGCATGAGAAACCAGAGGACTGACGGAAAGGTGAGGACTTTCGTGGAAGTAGGTGGAGGGATGGATTGGGGCGGGAATAACACAGAGGGGAGGATGTGCAGCGTCTACAAAGCGTTGCTAATATGTTCACTTAGCTGGAGTGAAATCACATCTGAAACTGAGAGAATGCAGGGTAAGCTTGGCCTGCACTGCTAATGGCTTGGTCTCAGGTATAGCTCTTACATTGTTCTGGGTGATTAATGAGGTGACAGCCCCCCCTGTAATGAATACACCACAAGCTAATTATCCAACTAATGAGAACAATCTCTCTAGTTTGTCAATTTGATATTCAATTTCTAAAGGTGACTCCAGAATGGATGACCTCACCAATAAAAGCAGTATTGTTTATTATAAAATCAATATTTTTTTCAAAGCAGAGTGGACACATATTTTGCTATTTGTATATGAAGCTTTCATTACAAAGAGGACAGTGAAATTAAGCAACATTATGTGTTTGATTATTTCTCATATTTCGGTGTCATCTAAAAATCTATTATTAGGTTGCACATATATACCTTTTTTTTTTTTTTAGTCAGTTTATTGAACATGTCAGAAACAAACACATACAACAATAATATATATATATATATATATACACTCTTTTTTTCCCCCTTTGTCTTTCTCACTCAAATTAATAATTATAACAAAGTACAAAAAAAAAAAGAATAATAACAAAAAAAACAATAATAATTCTCAAATAGTCTCTGTCATGTTCAACAGGGGCAAGAAGAAGCTTAAAAAAACTTTTCTGGTCCTACCCCCTCTAGCATATATTTTTCTTATAGATAAAATATTAGGTCATCGTCATCAGTGACAAGTTTGTCTTGTTAATTTGTTTGCTTTTTGACAAAACAATCAGAAAGAAATTACTTTTACAATTACAAGAAATAACAACAAATGGGATTTTCCAGGTCCTGTTCATAACCATTAATGATTTGGCTCCTAAATAATACTTTCAGTTTAGATAGACTTGTACAATATTTCAGTGCATCATTACAGTTATTCCACAGACTAACACCTTTTGATGAGATGCAATGAAGTTTGGCATTTGTTTGTACGGGTGGTTTTTTGAAAATGCAATTTCCTCTCAACATGTGCATGCTTTCTCTCCGTGTGAAAAGTCCCTGGATATTATGAGGTAATTGTTGATTTGCGGCTTTGAACATAATTTGAATAGTTTTATAGTCAACCAGGTCTTGTAGTTTTAGTGTTTTTAGTTTGATGAACAATTTATTTGTTGGTTCTCTGTACGTAGTTTTATGTATAACTCGTATGGCTCTTTTTTGCTGGATGAAGATAGGATGTGTATTTGTTCTGTATGTGTTCCCCCAAACTTCCACACAATACATCATGTATGGAAGTATGAAGGAGCAGTACAGCATAAACAAGGAAGCTTGATTAATTAGGTATTTGGCTTTATTCAGAATTGCTATTGATTTGGANAGAGATTACAAAAACGAACTATGGCACCCATGACTAAATCTTGTCGATTGGTTACAACAGTTGTTACCTAAAGTTCCTTTAGATTCCCCTCACTTCTAGACACAGAACTGGGTTTTTAATTTAATTGTAAACTTGCGTTCGTACTATATTGCGTTCAGAGACGGCATATTCACTCTTCAGCCACAAGCTGGGCCTTATGTTTCTTCCCTTACTGAGTGAAAATGGTCTTATTCGACCAGGTTAATCATATATGCGGTCATAGCCGTTAAATTTATTCAAGGAACCTCATTAGTAATATCTGTTAGTTTGGTTAACTCTCCACGTATTATGTGGTACACGTTGTACGATAGTTACGCGGAGACTGAGTCTCTTTACCGATCGGTCCTTTTTTACCAGTCAGTTTAGACTTCATGATCGCTACAGACATATGTCGGGTGGTGGATTTTCTCACAAGTGCTACGATTAGTTCCCCGATGGTTAGTATGATCTCACACTTATACTATATGGGCACATACATAATCACAGACACGACAAGATTGAAGGACACCCTATTTAAGATCTCTCTCTCATAGACAAACTTTATGGTTAAGTCACCGGACCACCAGTCCACACTTCATCATGCATGCGACGCGAATGTTAAGACTCTTGTATCTCTCGCGTGTCTCCCTATCACTTCATGGCTCTGGGATCGGTCTTATGTTGTCGAATTGGCTCAGATCTGAACTGACCCCATGTAGATGGTTTATTGCTTATGTTATATGTTTCATTAGGGCTGCGTTCGCGAGACGTCTCATGACACACTACCTGGCCCCCGAGTCCAGATGGTGAACATTCGTCTGATCCACGAGGTACTGGACCTGATCCTTAGGGCTCAGCTGCCCCCCAGGGCCAGCTTTGGGTGACTATATGTATCTCTCGCGACGGGTTCCGGGGTTCCTCTCGGTTCTTGGGTTGGTTGTCCGAGGCCAAGGTGGAATCATTTTGGTGTACCCTCCGTCCGACACACGCACTAAAGGGGGTCTTCCAGCGTCTGCAAAAAGAATGGTTTTAATAGTTTTTGATACTTCACATATATTGTTAATATACAGAATAAATAGTAATGGCCCCAAGACTGAGCCCTGAGGCATCCCACATGTAACCTGCAGTAGTTGTGATTTATGGGTTTGTAGTTCAATGTACTGTTCCCTGTTATGTAGGTAGCTGAATAGCCATGATAGTGCAACACCTCTAATGCCATATCTCTGTATTTTTTTAATTAATAATTCATGGTCAACCTTGTCAAATGCTTTTTTAAGGTCCAGAAA